CCGCATTTTACTGCAGAGTGAGAACCAGGACAGGAATGTGGTGTGTGGAAGGAGGTGGTGGCTGCAGGGGGGTGCAGTTGCGCCCACTTGCTACTTTGATGAGAACATTCCTTAGCTGGCTGCAGAGTATGGGAAAATAAAGTGGACAGATTTCCTCTTGTTTTCCCGGTACTGCTGTGGCCAGACTCAGACATCATTTTTTGTGTAGGCCCCTAAAATTTCAATTTAAGAAATCAGGGCTAAGCCCTGATTTAAGATGAGCTCCCAAAGAAGGTACCCTATTGAGATTTTCAGTTCTTTGCTAGGTTTGAGTTCTATTTTTTATTTTTTTTTCAGCTAACTTTGGAGAAAGGGAGTGACTTAGCTCGCAATGGCTTAAATATTCCATGTAAAAAGGAGAAAAAAAAACCCTGTTTTCATGGATTCGAACTTACTATAAAATCTGTTGCATTTAGTTCTTTTAGAAATAGCATTATAGAAATCCAATTCTAGAATTACATAAATATCCTTTACACAAATGTTATTTTAAACACAAATAGTCGATTCTCTCATGATCTAACAACAGTGCCTTGTCTGTCTGGAATTATTATGTCTGAACCAAGAGTTCCTCCCACCCTGGCATTTAGGAACTCTACAAAGGAAACACAGCTGATATTAAGGACATGAATGCCCGGCTTTGTGCTTATGTTACAGTTTATCATTTTCAAAAGTTTCTCCTTCATGATCTCATTTCAGGACTTTTGACACCAAGTTCCTAGAATGATTTTGCTAGTTAGTGGGAGAGTTTTGATTAGAGTCCAGGGCTCTATGTATTGTGGATCCTGTTGTGTCCCATCGTCCTGTTTTCTAAGCTGTCAAATTGTGCTAATAAAGCGGCAAACTCCTCTTGATTAAGAGATGAAGAACAGGACACCATCCCGCCGTGGAGTCAGGTTGTGCAGGGCTAGGTCTTGACATTTTTACCTGAAGTGCCGATATTTTGAAGCTGTGAGTTAATCAATGAATGCAATGCCCTGCCTTCCTGGTCCATAATTGCT